CCATATCCCTAAAGAATGTTGATGGGATCTGGATTGGGATTGCATTGAATGTATAGATTGCTTTGGGTAGAACTGACATTTTCACAATGTTTAGTCTTCCTATCCACGAGCATGGAATGTTTTTCCATTTATGTAGGTCTCTTATGAAGGATAACAGATATTTAAGAGACATTAAAGAGTCATTTGAAATCTCTGAGCCTGGGCAGAGTTTTTTGACTCATGGACTTCTTTGAAGTATAACTGTACTGTGAACTAACTCTTGGTTGGAGCATTCCCAAATATCAGAACCTAGAAATCTTGTTTCTGAGGAGAAAGGCTGCCTCCTTTCTCCAGAAATCATTCCTTTGCTCACCTGCCTAGGAAATTAAATATCTGGATGCTAGCATATATAGGATGGGGAAGGGGGCAGAAGGTCCCAAAGATTAGCATAGAGCCTTTTCCTTGTACTTCATCCCCACTACCTTCTGTGCTTGATATCCCTGAGTCTGGAGCTTCTGTGGTTCAGTTTTTCCAGAGAATAAAATTACTTTTCTCCCTGCGAGGGGAAGTGGTAGAGGTGGTAAGTCACTTGGCTATGTGGGATAAGGGAAGGCCCAGTAGTCCTGCCTTCTCCCCTCTCTGATGGTAACTCTGCTCCAAGTACCAATTCTCACAAGGTGTCTCTGGGCCACATTGTTTCCACTCTCACATTCATCCCCTCCTTTTTCTCCTTTATTCCTCTATCTCCCTACTGCCTTTGAAAAATTTATGAAAGTTTACTCTCACTAGTTTTCCTTTTCTTTTTTCTTTCTTATGGATTAATATATTTATTTTATTCTACTGTCTTTAGAGGAGTTGAGGAGAGGGAGACAAGATAAACTAATGTGTTCAATCTGCTATTTCTAACTGACTCTGGAATGCGTTTTTTTCTAGGCAAAGTATTACACTTGCTGATCAGGTGCTGAGTAGTCCTGTCAGTGCTGTTTCTCATGCATGGTATAGGTTAAGTAGGTTTGTGTGGGCTGCCCTGGGACCTGACCACATCAGTGATGTTTCTCTAGACCTGGAGAAGCTGTCAGACCTTTCTGAGTTGAGAAATATTTGGAGGAATTATAACAGAGTTGTTGATAACAGAGTAGAACAAACATGTGGCGTAGACCTCTTCATTTTCCAGGTCACATAGAAGATTATTGTGTCATCATTGTCAAAATAAAACATTCTAATAACTGTAACAGAAACTTGAATTTTCGTGGAAAACTTTGTTCTTAAAGTTAAGCATATATAAAAATTGAACTCAGAGGCAGAATTAAATTTTCCAGCCAGTATCCCTAAAGGCTCATTTTTTAGCATCTTTTTTTGAAAGCTGTGTTCCTAATTAAATGTAAGCCCAGTGATAGTGCTAGCTGTAGGAAGTAGTGAGAGCCATGGGAATAGTTTACTTTTTTGTTACTTTCTCATTTCTACCTTGAACACGCACAACAGGATCTTCTGAACATTGGACTGAATAGAATAGGTGGGTAGATAGATCAATAAAACAATCTTTGTAATCATAAATAACTAAAATTAGATATGCAGAGCACATGTATAGTGAAAAATACAGTGCCAATACGTGAAATACACAGAGTGCCTGAAAGTAAACGCTGCACCAGCTTGATGTTTGAATTGCAAAGACCACTGCAAGTGTAATAGAGCCACTGCAATTGTGTGGCTGCACTTCCCAGGCTTCGAGCAGGGCATATGGACTCTCTTCCAAACGATCGCTCCTGTTGTGCGGAGGCAGCCTTCCATGAGTACTTGCTCCCCGGTAGCCATGTGACTGACCCAGTCTCAAGGGATCAGAAACGATTATGAAACCAGGAACAGTTGTAATCTCTAATGTGTCCGAAACAATGTAAGGGCAATGAAATGCAGTCACTCCATTATTTACCTTCAGTTTTATTCTTTTCTTTCTCTATCTTATTCTTTTTTAAAAAATTAGCCATCCCTCCCCTCAACCTTGCTTTCAATGGAGTATTGACTAGGAACCAGAAGCCCATTTTTGCTTAGCCTTAAGGGCAGCTGTGTGCAGAGTAGCAGTGTTACATAGGTTTACTGTGTCGTATGTCTGTGTAACACTGGATTTGGATCTTGTATTTAGCTGCCAGAAGTGACTGTGATGAAGTAGGAGAGATAAACTGATAGATTGACTGCCAGAAAGATGTTGAGAATCAATCAGATAAACAAGCTAGAGAAATGGCTTGCTGTTTTCTAGTGATAATAATCCAGTGGCCTCTGGTCTACGCATTTTTAAATGTAATTGCTGTGGTAATAACGTCCAAAATAAGCAAGTGAAAAACCATCGCGGGAGGTTTTTTAATTGCAATTGAGATATCCTTTTCCCTTTTGCAGTAAAGAGTCATCTTACGAAAGTGAATGTTTTTACAAATTTATTTTACTACTTCCAGTGCCTACTTACATAAACAAATAAGAATTAGAAAGTGAACTACTTTCACAGGAATTTATTCCTCCTTCTCTATCCCCCCACAGGCTTCAACTATTTAGGTGAAATATATAAATTGCTACCATGCTTTATTGACAGAATACTTATTTTTGTGAAGAAGCAAGCTTAAAAGTCAACACTGACAAATGATTAGCAGGAACCAGTTTCTTTTAGTGTCCTCCTTTAGGTTTCTCTCAGAAAATTTTTGGAATTTTAATCCCTGTTGCTATTTCTGTGCATATAGCACTGATACAGGTGAGACAGTATCTGGTTTTATTATTGTAATTTAAAATTCTTCTCCTTTAATGTTTAACTTTTAAATCCATTTGCCTTCTCTCTACCTGGGGAGCTTTGGTGGCGTCGTGCTTAAGGCATTTCACTGCTGACCAGAAGGCTGATGGTTCAGTTCCACCAGACACTCCTCAAAAGGAAGGTTGGGCAGTCTGCTTCCATAGTGATACCTCCTCGAAAACCAAGGAGGGGTCGCTATGAGTAGGATCCAACTAGACAGCAGTGAGAGTTTTTGAGTTCTCTTCACCTCGGACTTTAAGATCCAGTGTGAATTCCTAAGTCTGTGTGAATGGTATAACTGTAGACTTAGAGTGCATGCGTGCAGGATTAAGAGGGGAGTAGGAGAGTAATTTAGAATTCCCATGGAGTTGAATTGTATAGGTTCAGAGACTGGCCCTCTGTCTTGTATTAGTGAGATATATATGTATGGAATATATATGTATACCCCCAAAAAAACCAAACTCACTGCCTTCAAGTTGGTTCTGACTCATAATGACCCCCCTTTGGGTTTCCGAGGCAGTATCTCTACGGAAGTAGATCGCCCAGTCTTCCTTGTGGCTGGTGGGTTTGAACCACCAGCATTCTGATTAGTGGTCACATGCCTTAGGCACTATGCCACCAGCTCCGTTTATTTATGCGTGCGTGCGTGTGTGTGTGTGTGTGTGTGTGTGTGTATAATTTTTTTTTGGTTGTCTCTTACAGTTTTTGTGATTGTGACTGTGTTGGTGTCATATATGGTCAGATTATTTAATACTAAGCATGGTAGAGGAGCTCTGGTAGCATAGTGCCTAAGGCACTTGACTGCTAACCAGAAGTCTGGCAGTTCAAACCCAACAGCCACTCCTTGGAAGGAAGGTTGGGACAATCTACTTCCATATGATACTGCCTGGGAAACCCAGGGAGGGGTAGCTATGAGTCAGGTCCAACTTGACAGCATATAACAACAACAATCACCATGGCAGAGTACTAGGTACAGAAAGCATGAAGATGAAGGCTATAATTTTAATTATATACAATAAAGGCTTTTGCCTGAGGAGGACCTTCCTGCCTGCTGGAGGTTACAGGTCAAAAGTTAACCATGTACCATTATCCTGTTGGTGAGAAGCTGATGGTTTTTCCTTTTTGCCACATAGCCCTTCCTACCTGACCTTTTAAAGATTCCCCATTGATATCGATGGGGTGGACAAAACTAATCATAAAAACAATGAAGGGAACATTGCACACTCATTGATCCATTTGAAATGAACTGCAGTACAGTAAGTCTTCCAGATGGACTTCTGTTCTCAGCTATTGCTATGCCACCTTTTTAAAGATGTATAAATATGAAAGGGTTAATGGAATTCAGTCATGCTTTTGCCACTGGGTTATCCCTTATTGATTGTAGTCTTAGAGCTGTCACTATGCCATTCAGAATTCCTTCTGTGCCCTTTTAAAGTCACTTGGTGCTGGAAAATGATAAATAAATCAGTCACTTTCCTTTTTCCTCTAGCTCCTTCGAGAACTCATAGAACGGAAGACCAGCTCCTTGGATCCCAATGATCAGGTGGCCATGGGAAGGTAATTTAGATATGACTTTCTATTCATGCAGGCAGCCTCTACAGGAAGTTCCCGATTTAAGACAGGGTTCTGTTCTGATGACTCCATTGTAAATCAGTTCTGACATAAGGTTAATAACTTATTTTATTTATTTTTTGGTTTTCATTGTTACTGCCTTTTATTATCAGTATTTTTACAAATCTAACCTTTATTTTTCATAGGGGGTTAGAAAACATTATTTCTAAACTTACAGATACATTTTAACATTATATGTGTTAGTATCACTAACAATAAGGCCCTTGACTACTAACCAGGAGGCTGGCGATTCAAACTCACCAGCCAACTCCTCAGAAGGAAGGTTGGGCAATCTACTTCCATAGTGATACTACCTTGGAAACCTATGGAGGGTCGCTGTGAGTCGGGTCTCTATGAGTCGGGTCTGACTCGATGGCACATAACAACAACAATAAGATGTAAAAAAACAAACAAAACCAAAAACCAGCCAGGTATAAGTGCAGTTTGTCTTTAAGTTGGGTGGTTGTTAGGTGCCGTCGAGTCACTTCCAACTCATAGCGACCCCATGCATAGCAGAACGAAACACCACCCGATCCCACGCCAGCTCCACGATCCTTGCTATCCTTGAGCCCATTGTCACAGCCACCATGTCAGTCCATCTTGTTGAAGGCCTTCCCCTCTTTTGTCAACCCTCCACCTTACCAAGCATGACATCGTTCTCCAGGGAATAGTCCCCTCTGACAACATGACCAGAGTAGGTGAGACGAAGTCTGGCCACCCTCGTTTCCAAGGAGCATCTCGACTGCACTTCCTCCAGGACAGATCTGTTAGTTCTTTTGGCAGCCCATGGTACCTTCAGCATTCTTCACCAGCACCACAACTCAAAAGCATCAACTCTTCTTTGGTCTTCCTTATTCATTGTCCAGCTCTCACATGCATATGAGCGATTGGAAATATCATGGCCTGTGTCAGGTGACATCCTTGCTCCTCAGCACTTGAAAGAGTTCCTTCGCAGCCAACCTACCCAGTGCAACACGTCATCTAATGTCCTGACTGCTGCTTCCATTGGCCTCAATTGTAGAACGAAGCAATGTGAATTCTTTGACAACCTCAATCTTTTCTCCATTTATTGTGATGCTGCTTATTGGTCCAGTTGTGAGGATTTTTGTCTTCTTTATATTGAGATGTAATCTATTCTGCAGACTGTGTTCCTCAATCTTCATCAGTAAGTGCCTCAAGTCATGCTCATTTTCAGCAAGCAAAGTTGTATCAGTGTATCTCAGGTTGTTAATGATTCTTCTTCCTTTTCCACTTAAGTTGGGTACTACTTGTATATAGGCTGCTTGCATGAATAATATGTACAATATTTTCTCCCTTTGGGTCCCCTTAATTCAGCCTCAAAGGAAATAATGATTGGCCTTATCATGAAAGTTAAGCAATATAGTAAGAGCTAGAAAGACAGAGTGACGGAAAGCCTAATGTTTATCTTCCATTGCCATAGAGTGCAATTTGAAAAGAGATTAGAAAATACCTACATACGTATGTTTGTTTTCCAAACTCTTCCTCATGCTCTTTGCGCTCTGGTTTGGGTTGTGATCGTATCCGTATCTCTCTGTTGACCAGTGAGTAAAAAGTAGTCACCCAGATATGTGCTCTCAGCCGTCAGAATGTAGCACTATGTATAACAGGTTCCTTGCTTAGAGTTGAATCTGCTTTGTTAGAGCCTGCCCTAATTTAGACCTTCACCTCTTCAGTAAAAGCTTCAGCACAATTAGAAATGGAACGTGGCAGCATTACCCAGATGTCAGGGTAGAATGTAAAGTAGTGAAGGAAGGCTCTTGTGTGGATGTTTCATCCTGTGGTTGGAAAATAAAAAGGGCATTTAGAGTGCTACCTAATGAATAGTGTACATTTAAATAGCCATGAGCCATAATTTGCAAAAGCATGAAAGGAAACAAAAGCTTCAAGTGCCAGAATGGGATTCAGGACAGAACAGCATTTTGAGAAAGCAATGAAAAATTTGTATTGATAAAATAGTTTTATTTGAGTAAAACATTATTTGAGTTCTAGGGCAGGATGTTGTTGATATTTTGTGCATCTCTGGAATGTTATAGAGAGCTGTTCGCTATAAATTTAATGTGATAGAGCGAATTGCATTTAAGTGGTGATTATATTGTACATTTATCTGACTTTACAATAAAATAGATTATGGTAATTAAGATTATATTAAGATTACAGTAATTGGATTTCCCTAGTTTTTTTTTCTGATGTTGAGTTTTCGTTATATAAATCAGGTAAGATGACTGGCTGCTGCGGGTGCCTTTTTTTTTTTTTTTTTTTAAGAAACATTTGTTTAAGCAATTTATGAAGATTTTCTTAGCCTAGTATCCTTTATTTGAAAAATTAATTTCTTATCTAAAATGACTGTAGAAAATGTGAATCTTGTTTGGATCCTGGTTCAAACAAACCAACTGTAAAATTGAAACAATACAGGAAATTTAAAGACTGTCTGAATATTTGATAGTAAAGAATTGCTGTTAACTTTTTTTTTTTTTTAAATCATAATGGTATTGAGGTTATATTGAGAGGAGGGAATCCTTATCTTTTATGGAAATACTGAAATATTTACAGATGAAATGAAAATCAAATAAAATGACTTTAATATCAGTAATGGATAATTATAAAAAATTAGCAAAAAGTAGGAAATACAAGAAAAAGCACTTGGCTGTTAGCAAAGAGAAAATTAGATTTAAAGAATTCAAACCAAACAGCAGTAGCAACATTAATAATAGACTATGTTGCACAGCTAAAACATTAAAAGAAAATGCAAGCAGTCATACTCCTTTTTATGGGTTTTCCTGCAGACTGGTAGATTTGTGCTTGTCACAGCAACTCCACATGCTAAGGAGCATAGTTAACCAAATTTGCTGTAGAATTTCACAGCTGCCATATGTTTTTTACCATTGCTCAAATCCTCTTCAATTGATTAGTCACTTTGGCCCCAGACTATCTTCAGGAACTTGATGTAGGTTGATGATTCTTTCTGCAGGGTTGTGAGTGAGAAAAATTCCAATTTGTCAATAGGTATGACTATTTTCTGTTAGTGGTGATGCATAACATTGCTTGTGAATTTCCTAGGCAATGGCTTGCAATCCAGAAGTTACGAAGCAAAATCCACAAGAAAGTAGATAGGAAAGCCAGCAAAGGAAGAAAACTTCGGTGAGTTATCTTTTAGAAAAAATTAATATGATATGTGTCTTTCTTCTTTTGGCATTTTGGCTATTGTGTAATTTTTCTATTTCATCTCATGATTCTGCCTTTAAGGATCATAAAAATAACCAGAACAATATTTGAATCTTTTTTGAGACTCATTTTTTCTGACTCTTAAATGGAAATTTTATATTAATTACTTTTTGTTCCGTTGTTGTGAATGAGTGAATGACATAATACATACATTTTCGTAAAAGAGAAATAACAAGAAAACAAAGACAAGATAGTTGAAATTATCTTTTTTTAAAAATGATTTATATAGAAGTATATAAAAATTTTACTTAAAAGTCTTATTTAGAATAGGCTTATATTGGCCCATTTTCATGATGCCATGTATGTACATAGAATGCTAAAAAGATGTAAATGAAGGACTGCAGAGAATGTTAGTAATGTACTTAAATGAAATGAGAAATACAATTTTTTATAAGAAAATATGGAAATTTCTGGCTGTAGGAAAACTCTCAACCCTTTGAACTCTTTAAGGAGTCTCATAAGAATACCAAGGCCAAGGAATAGGAAAGAGCAGGAATTGACATTTCTATACATTTAAGTTTAGATACTTGTGTGTGTATATGTATAGATACAGATATAGATATAGAGGGCGCTCTGGTAGCATAGTGCCTAAGGCATTTGACTGCTAACCAGAAGGCTGGCAGTTCAAACCCACCAGCCACTCCTCAGAAGGAAGGTTGGGCAATCTATTTCCGTGGTGATACTGCCTCAGAAACCCAGGGAGGGGTTGCTATGAGTCAGGGCCGACTCTTTGGCACATAACAACAACAACAGATAGATATAGATATAGATGTAGATATAGATAGAATATATAGATTATATAATATCATTCACACAAAGCCTCAGTGTCGAAGAAATTACTTGTAATTCAGATGCACACCAAAGAAATCTTAAATCTTAACCTGTGTTAGGACAGTCTTAGATAGCTAATCCCAGGTCCCTATTTTAGAGCCTGTCTGTCATTAAATTTCCTTTAGACAGATTGGATCTATCTCATAGTTTAAGACCATGGAGAAATAGATTTCACAGCTAATTTTAATATTTAACAAAACTCATTAGGAAATGTTTCCTTTAACTTGCATAAGTGCAAAGTAGTTTTTCATTATCTTTTGATTCAAAGCCACTCCTTCAATCGCAGGTTAAGTTGTTTTAATTTAACTTTTTCATACATGTAGGTCTCCACTAAAAATGAACAAGTCTCTAGGTTCATTTTTAGTGTAGTGGTTAAAAGCATGGACTTGAGAGTCAGAATGCCTGAGTTGGAATCCCAGTTTTGACACTGACTGTTTGTTACTTTGGGCAAGATACTTAACCTCTCTGTGCCGTTTTTTTCATCTGTAAAGTAGAGATGCTGATAGTGCTAGTCTCATAGTGTTGCTGTGCATAGTAAGTGAGTATGTGTAACAATTAGAACAGTGGCAGGTACACAGTAAGCACCATCTACATATTTGTTGCCACTATCACTGTCATTATTGTTGCTATCATTGTTCCAAGACTTCATCAGTTTCCTGCTCTAATTTTCTCTTACTTGCTCACTAATATACCTCTTCTCCTCTCTACCCGCTCTCCTCCCCAAGGATTTAAAAAAGAATGTTGCTAACACTGCTTTGTAAGTGACTAGGCTGAATGATTGCTTTATTCCTTAATATTTGGGTTTAGCCATTTTTCTTGGTCCTATTCTTTTAAAATTTCCTCTTTGTGAGACCATCAGTGTTCTCTAGAGGGAAGAGCCCAGGATTTTAACTTAGACAACTTGGATTCAAATACCTTCTCTGTCTGGCTGTATGATTTTGGTTATTCTTTATTCTCTGAGTCTTTCTTTTCTTATTTACTTAGTGGTGACAACAATCCCTATGTTAGAGATTTGGTTTGAGGATTAAATGAGATAATGTGTAAATATCTGGCATAGTAGACATTAAAAAATGTTAGTTTCTTGTGTGTTTATCTGTTGGTATATCTTTTGTAATATAGATGTTTCAAAAGAATTGAGAGGAAAAAAGGCCATTTCTACATTATTGTATTTTTATGAATTTTGGAGGCAAATAATTATATTTGTATGCCCCTTGAGGGCAAGAACTGTGCTACTTTATCTTTTTTTTTTTTTAATTTTATATAATTTATTTTTTTAAAAAACTTTTTATTTGATTTGGGTGGAACTTTACAGATTAATACATTTTCCATTCAACAGTTCATACACATTTTATTTCATGACATTGATAGCAATCCCCAAATGTAACAGCTCTCTTCCCACTTCCTCCCTGTGGTTATTTTTCCCTGTGTCCTTCTTTCCTATGCATTTCTGCCCTCTGAGCTTTCTCTTTGCACAAATGCAGCCCTTCCAATCTCTCGTAGATAGTTGTTCTAAGGAGAGTGCCCAGCTGGGTAATTGTCCACCTTGTAGGTGAACAATTGTTTAATTCTTGTGTCCTGTTCTGCTGAAAGTTAAGCCACAGAGTGAGTTCAATTCCAGGCCTGAAGGATGACCAGGGGCCACAGTCTTGGGGGTTTCACTAGTCTCTATCAGACCAGTAAGCCTGGCCTTTTCTCTCTTTCTTTTCTTTTTTAAACTATTTTGAGCTTTGTTCCACATTTTTCTTCCATTCTATCCAGGATCTCCAATTTTGATCCCTTTCCAAGTGGTTGGCAGTGGTAACCGGGCACCACTCTAGTTCTTCTGGTCTCAGAGTCATATAGGCTGCTGTTCCCATGGTCCACTAGTCCCTTGGGCTAATTGTTTCCATGTGTTTTTGATTTTTTTCACTATTCTTTGCTTCAGATGAGGAGAGACTAACTGTTGTATCTTGGAAGATTTTAAGACCCCAGTTGCTACTTACCAGAATAGGATGTAGAACAATGTTTTTGCATAGTATGTTACGGCAATTGAGCTCTATGTACCCCGTGATCATTGTCCCAAGGCCCCAGTGTGCTACTTTATCTTGTAATATAATTCCAAACTTATTATCTATATAGTGCTTATAGACATTAGTCACCCAGAAAATGATTTTGGATGATTATGATAGTAGTAAAATTAAAATGCTCATCAGGTAATTAGAAATGGCTGTAACTGTAAACATAAAATAGATTAATAAATCTGGATGTGTATTAGAGAAGTAAGCACTTTTCTAGCATGGCAAATAACTTAGGAGAACGGGCCTGTTGTACCACAAATCAGAGTTATTATTTATCATGTTGGAAAAATAAAACAATTTCATTAAATAGCAACTGCTTTTCTTATATTAATTGACTAAACTAGCCTTATTAAGCTATTCATTAGAGGTATATTTTTAAAAAATTACGTATTACATACTTTTGTTCTTGTGGCATTTGATAGTAATTGAGATGCCCACAACCCCATGTATTCAGATGCATTTAAAATCTTATGTCAGCAGCAGGAAGTCAGGAAACAGACATTCTATTTAAATAGGAATAAACATTAAGAAATGGTTTGCATGTCCTCCCTGTTCTAGGAATCATACTAGACTCTGGGTAAGATCCAGTCTGCCCCCAGGAAACATTTAGTCTGGAGGGGATGACACACAATAAACAGACTATGATACTGTGTGGTAAGTGCTATGGTAGACATAACCCTGGAGTAGGGTTACCAGTACAGATTAGAAAAGACTAAGGAGACATCACAGCATGGTGTAATGTAGGATCATAGATTGAATCCTAGAAAATGGCTACCTTACTCTTGGGAATGCAGATAGCTCAGGAAGACTTTGTATAAGCTGCAACATCCACACTGAGCCTTGAGAAACTAGTAAGAGTCTAACAGGAGCAAAAAGAACATTTGCAAAAACACAGACTTGAGAGCATAAGTGGCCTATGTTGAGAACTATAAGTAATTAATTTTGACAGAGACCTAACATGGATATGGCGAGTGGCAGGAGATGAGGCTGTATGAGTAGGCATGTGCTAGACCCTGGCCATGCCAAGAATGTTATGCTTCATTCTATAGATGATAATGAATCACTAAAAGATTTTGTGATGAATGTTGTCATCACATTTGCATTTTAGATAATTCTAGGGATTTTATAGAAATGGATTAGAAGTATTATGAGAGCAAGGGCTGGCATGAATAGAAAATGATAGATTGAGAGACATTTATGAGGGTAAGTAATTGGTGCTTAGGAGTACTGGTGTGAGGTGCTGAAGGGAAGTGAGGCTTGAATGGCTCCCAGGGTTTCTGAGGGAACTGGGTGGGTTATGGTATCATTCATTGATACGATACACAGAGAAGCTGCAAAGAGGAAATCATTTGTTTATTGAGGGAGAGAGTAAAATAGGTTCAGGATGTGTTGAGTTCGACACAACTTTGAGAAAACCAAGTTCAAAGATAGGTTTTTGGGTTAAAAGAAGATGTAGATATTTGTTGATGTTTTGGAAACAATTGCTGTTTCCCAAGGAATGTGTAGAATGACAGGGATTATACAGTGATAAGAATAGAACCCTGAAGAATGTGAACATACATGAGGGACACAAAGGAAGAGGAACTAAGAAAGGACAGTGACAAAGAGTGGTCATTGAGGTGGAGGACAGGAGAGAGTGCTGTACAGCAGAAGGGAGGAGAATGTTTAATGTGAGGTCAGGAGTGCTAGATGTGTCAGAGAAATCAAGTAGCGAAGGTAGATTTTATCTGTGATCACATTTCTCCAGGAATGAGATGGTATGGATTACTGTAGAAGCCCAAAAACCAGATTAAGAACCATTCATACTTGAAAGACCTTTAGCATTTCTGCATAAACTTGTACTGTCTTAATTGGTTTGTTTTATAATAGCCTTTTTCACATATAGTTGATGCAACAGTAGAAGGTCATGTGTAACTTCAGTTGTTAAATGTAGAGAAAACTGGAAAAAAAAAACCAAAAACTCACTGCCATCGAGTTGGATCCAACTCATAGTGACCACTCGTTGGGTTTCCGAGGTGGCTTTACTAT